GGCCTCGTCACCGTCAGCAGGATGACCTTAGCTCGCAGCAGGGAAGCCTGAACCCCCCTGCCGAACCCTGAGCCTCCCTCCAAACCCTTGTCAGCCCTCAAAGCCCTGCTTGTCCCACCCATCGAATGATGCTGAAAATCTCCAGGTGTTGGCATGTCACCTCCTCTCCTCCGAGTTAAAAGAATTTTCGAGGTGCCTCCCTTCTCGCGATCCTTTACCTTGTCCCAGTCATCTATTGGGTGAACGGTGAGTCGGGAGAATGAATCCAAAACAGAGTGGGCTGAGTCCGCAAAGAAGGCAGGACAGCACGAGATAGCACGAGTCAGGAAACAAGACAGCATGAGTCAGAAAAAAGTGTCCATCTAAAGCCCTTTTCGTCCCAACCCTGAAACCCCAAACCCTGCAACCCAAAACCGATGACAGGGCTGGCCGTGCACTGTCTAGGGGGTCTTTTCTGTTCTCGACTTGGGTTCAGGACGTTTCCGACTACAGGTACTTTGCCTGACTTGACCGTCTCTGGTCATCTGTTGGGAAGGGGCCGGGGGTCGGGAAAGAAACCCGAAGGAGTCGTGCAAACCCCACAAAGTTCAGGCTTTGGAGCCTTGACGCCGACCATCTCATCCATTATCCAGAAGCACTCTTCCCTGCGTGCGGAAGAAGCCAAGTTCCAGTTGAGGGCAGAGAACGGTTTAGATATGGTTTTTGCCACCCGCCTAGGATTTGATTTCAGACTGATTCAGCATATAAAGGTGAAAGGTGAAACGAAAATGGTCACTTGTCAAGGCGATAAGCCCGGCGAGGCAGCTTGCACACAACATCAAATTCAGAAACTTTGGTCTAGAATTCCAGACTTCCCAAGCCACCCAGTGCCAGCCACCCCGATTTTAAAACCCCAGAGCACAACAAGGAATGCATCTGAAACAATGGGCAGGCCGCATCCGACACGCTACCACGCTTGCAGTCTCTCTCAAAGCAGGCTGATGCACTTCTCTTAAGCCCTCAAACGCTGCGTGTGTCTTGCCTGCGGACAGCATTCAAAAGCTGGCCGTCGATGAGGAGATTCTCTCTCGCGCGCCCGTCTTCATCTCAAGGCAGGAAGCATAAGACATGCATTGCTCCAGCAAGCTTGGCTAGCCTAACCCCCAAATTGGCTTGACGCAACTCCGTGGCCGACTACTCACGTGCAAAACTCGCAGAGCTCTCGACAAACGACAGCGAGAGATCTCCTTTCCCAAGCCCGCGAGGGAAAGCCGGGGGCCTTTGTAGCGATAGCCGAGCTGAAGCACCGGCCCTCTCATGGGATCCTCTGGATCCTGCCAGGGAGGAAGCCCCAAATAAACAATTCTGTGTGTGGCAGCTTTCTTGCTGAGTTCAGTCTCGGCACACAACATAACGCTGTTTTCGCCCTCGCCCTCAGAACCTCGCCGAGACGGTACACGACGTCTTTGGCCTGCACGGAGTCATCTACGGGGACGATGACCTCAGAAAGGATTCCGCGCGCTTCAACTTTCAATGGCTCGGAATGACTCGGGCATGCCAGACTGCCCTCGGCTTGGACCTGTGTTTTGCGCCCTGCCCTGGCTGGGCCGAACACTTGTCACTTGTCGTCTCCAAGCGGCTTCCAGCTGCCTTTTGTCTTGGGTCATCTTCCAGAAATAAGTGCTGTCTTCGTTGGAGCCAGAGGGTCGCTCCTGGTGCTTCTTTGCACTCGGGATTTTGAGGCGCTTTTTGGAGCTTGGGGTGGAGTATGAAATGGTGCGCAGGGATGTACACTGGGGCTTCGGTTTGGGCAGTATTCCTCCTTTCCTGCTTCTGCCCGGCTCTTTCAGATCCATGTCCGAGCCAGGGCTCAGCGCCGACATCCAAGCCCACATTTTCTGCTTGAGCCCCTTCCCTATCGCATCCCTTCACTCCTCCTTCTTGGTCAGATCCACTTCCTCGGAGCCCTCATAGATGCGAGTGGGGAGCTGCTCGCCTGGTCCTCCAAAAGGAGTGAAGTCGCCTCGGGTCGAGTCGGTGTCTCGAACCCACGGACTAGTCGGAGGGATGGAGAAGCACAGGTCCAGGGGTTCAAATGCCTGCTCGTTTCGAGTTCTTCCTTGGGATAAGGTAGGCACGGAGTTATCTTGCAACAGAAGCCCCCACTTCCAAACCAAAGCGCTAAAGGCTCCGTCCACGCCGACGTCTCCTGGCAGGGATGAATGAAACACAAGAAACCCGGCAGCTCCCTGAACGCAGTTGCAACTAGGCTCTAACCGCATTTGCACAAAAGTCGGTGCTGCAGCCTGCTTCTACCACCTCCGGCTCGGTTGCGGAGCACACCACTCTGCGTCGACCTGTCCGCGCCGCAACTGCTGCCAGCGTGCTCGCCACCACGGCGGCCTTTGGGTTTCGGGTTCGGGGCTTCGTCATATGCATTCATGTGGGAAATTTTCAAGGTTCTATGTAGAGTTCCGCGAGGCGAACGAAAACTCTCATTCGCAGAGAGCCTTTTTCAACTAGGGGGCCAGCCAGCGTCACAGAGGGGGGACCGCCTCTCCATATCATCGGGTCAAAGTGCGAGTGCATCGTCTAGAGGTGCCGCGTTTCCCCGTCTACTTACGTGAAGTTCCACCTTCCATGTCGGGAAGTGGAACTCCCTCGGAACCCCTTCTACATGTAGAGAGATGTTCGACTTCTCCTACGCATGCAGGAGCAACTACACTTGTATTCATGTACGAGTAACTCAATGTGGGGGAGTTCACGGTCACTGTGGTATTCGACCTGCCAGGTGGTGGGATATTGCCTCGCCTTTGTGCTTCTGTGTAGGAGGGATTCGACGTCGATAGAGACAAAAAGAGAGAGAGAGAGAGAGAGAGACAGAGAGCGAGAGAGAGACAGAGAGAGAGAGAGAGAGACAGAGAGAGAGAGAGACAGAGAGAGAGAGAGAGACAGAGAGAGAGAGAGAGAGAGAGACAGAGAGACAGACAGACAGAGAGAGAGAGAGAGCGAGAGTGAGAGCGAGAGCGAGAGCGCGAGCGCGAGGGCGAGAGAGAGAGAGAGAGAAGCAAAGGAAATAGTTATTAGTAATTACCAAAAACCCAGCCGGTCACATTACACGTAAATTGTTCCTGGCACGTAGATGTTTGCTGGGTTTGGGGCTCTTGCCCCTGCAGAGGGAAAAGCTGTGTCATACCCTTGGCAAGACGTCCATTGTAAGCACCGAAATAGAAATTGCCACCCGCCATAATTTCTAACCACTCTGTGGCGACCAGGAAGCCCACGAACTCCGATGACTCTCATCTTGGGACTTGTCTGCACGGCCCCAGACAAATCTAAACTTTGCCATCCTCCACCTATAGAAGCACACGGGCACACGCACTGTAAAACCAACGCCCATCCAAAGCTCACTGAAAGCAGCGCCGGCTTCATCCTCAACCAAGTCTTTGAATGTGTTGGCCTTCTCTAAACGCTACTAGCCGACTCTAAACGCTACTAGCCGACCCCACTCTCAAACATCTCAAAACCCAAAGAACCAAGATAGCGCCCAGCCACTGAGCCCCGGCCATAGCTGGGTGCTCGCTTGGCAGACTGAAGGTTTCGGAGCGGATGTGCAGATACACCTCGCGATGTGGTGTGAGGTTACGGCCAGTACTTGTGGTTTGCCCGCGCTATTGCTTTAGAGGCCCATTGCGAAAGCGAAAACGTCGCCCCTGCCGAGGTTTCAGGACTCCGGAGGGCCGTATAGGCAATGTGTGCCCGCGCGCTAGGTTAACAAAAAGCCTAAACCCTAAACACCAAAAACCCTAAACCTTAAAACTGTAAAGCCTAAAACCCTAAACCCCAAAAAAACCTACACCCTAAAAACCCTCAACCCTAAAAACCCTCAACCCTAAACCCTTTTCACGGCTAGCGATTCAAAGTTCGCAGCATAAGCTGCGAAGCTCCTAATGTTTACAAGTCACGGCGCCTTAGAGTACAAGATGGGGCTCCATCCTGTCGAAATTCTATCCCATAGCCGCTACTGCCACTCCTGGCCTGCACTGGCTGGCAGTTGCACGAAGTTCGCGGAGGTCCCCTGCAGACCGTCGCGGATCGGGCGTTTAGAGTTCAGGGTGTGGCTTGCCTTTTTGAGCCGTTTCGGCTACGACCTTGAACTTTAGGTCTGGACTGGTCTTGCAGTGTCTTGCATGTTCCATCCTCATCCTGTCCACAAGTAAATTTGCACCTAAGCACCCCTAACCTTCCAGCCCTTTCCCTCAAACAGAGCCTCCGGAGTCAAAACTGCTCCAACAGCGCAGGACGCCAGCACCACTGCACAGCGCCGGCCCGCTGAGCTGGCAGAGCTGGCAGAGCTAACGGCTGGCTCCAGGGACATCTGAAGGGAGCACCTCAACGTGAGGGCAGGGAGTCAGAGAGCTTGAGGCCCGATCGTCCTGACTGGTGGCTCAGCAAATTCTCCTACAATCGCCGGGGAAGCCAAAGTGGCAGTACGATTCCCGCACGGGCTCAGCCAAAGTGCTTCGGCTGAGGGTTTGAAGCGTGGGGGGTTTGCAATATGAAATGGGTTCGAAGGAATGCAAGCACGAAGCAAGAAAGGAACCCATATCCAAGCAAAAGATTGGCGGGAATATGAGTTGTTTCACATCTGGGGATCTGGGCAGCAGGCTCTTGGAGGGCACGATGCCAGGAAGTGCGGGCCCAAGCGTGCTTGAGCCACTGGCAACGGCATCAGTTCCTAAGTTTGAGTGGTTTGGGGTCCCGCCGGAACCCTCTCGAAACTCAATTTTCTGAGAGCCAAACTAACCCCGGGCGGAGTCAAAACCCAGGTCCTCAAAACTAACTGCTGACCTACCCATTCAAACTAAATAAAGCGAAGCCGAGCTATCTTGGGGGGAGGTGTGCACAGCAAGTACAACATGCAACCTAAACTTAGCTCTAAGAATCTCTAAGAGACTCTAAGACCTATAGCCCCACAAAGCCCTTAAGCAAATGTTTCATTTGCTGCATTTGCTGGTGGCCTCGGTGATGGTTTGCCAAATGCCACGCCGGCTCACTGGGTCCAGGCCCGTCGTTGGCTCATCAAGCACCACCACCGAGGGCGTCGCAATCATGGCGCAGCCTGTGAGAGCTCAAAGTGCTTAAAACGCTTAAAGCTCTTGCAGTTCTGAATCTCCTCGCGACTGGAGCTGTGAATTCTGAATCCTGCCACCCCTGCCACCCCTGCCACGGCCCCTGCCACCCCTGCCACCCCTGCCACCCTGCACACGCAAGTGCGGAATTGCCTACTGCCAGACGCCGCCGCATGCCACCGCTCAGCCTCAGCATGTAAGAAGGGACATTCCAACGATGCCCGACTTGGTCGACCCGCATAACAATTCCAGGGGCTGAAGCAGGGGTCTACGCAACGTCAAAGGTTTAGGAGTCCCCAAATCCTCCGCCCCCATCATTTGCACAGCCAGGAGCGCATCTGGCAGCTCCTCGGTCCAGCACGTGGTTGGTCTGAAACGACCCCACCGACATTAAACCCTCAGAAGAGTTGAAAAAGCGTCCATGAAAAAAAAACATGAAACAAGCTCTTGAGCTTTTTTGCCACAGGCTTGTTGGGTTCGCGCCTGGATGATGCCTTGCCAGAAGTCTCAGCACCCATTGCAAAGGCAAAGCAACGCCCGACAAGCTATTTAACGTCATCGTCGGATCTCGCTCACCATCTGAACATTGCCTGTGCATTACCTTCTCCGAGTGGCTGGAGAGATCCATCCCTTCAAGTTCATCCCATTTAGGTCTGATCAACTTCTATTTCTTTTCCAGCTGGGCAATTGTAGATCATCAGCTTGCGAACGGACCGCAAAATTTCACTGTTCTAAGCATTTACATGCCGCACTGCATGTGGGTTCGAACGCGGTGCTCCAGCTGATCTTTCCTTTATAACATGTCCATGCTGGAGATGTCTGCCCGACATCTCCGAGCCCACCAATGTCTGCGCAAGGCCGGCTCTGATATCAGCCAAGCCCGCAATACACGTCGCTCGACTGGCAAAACAAAGCTACTTGAGTTTCGCCCTTTTGGACGTCGTAGGCTGGAAGCCACGGGCAGCCATGGGCCAAGGTGGCTATGCCAAACTGCTAAACCTCCAAAGACCTTGCGAAACAGGCTCGCAAACATCCTGCGAGACCTCAACCCTAAACCACCCAAACTTGCAAACCCAGCGTATCCTGAAATCCCAGCACTAGCTACTAGCCCATAATGCACAAACCGGAAAGCATACTGAAACTTGCGAAGGGTCCATCTGCTTCTCCTCAAGGCGTGTGGCCTTGAGGATCTCCTCAAGACACTGCCAGGCACGATCGCCTTGCACACCTCTCGAACGGCCCCTACAAGTCTGCACACCGTTTGCCCGGTTTGTCCGGGGTGTTCATAAGGTTTTCCTTCGTATGCTTTTCGGATGATTCTACTGGTCAGGCATTGATTTGAGAATTGACCTTGGATGTTCATGGGTTCTATATTGTTGGCATCGTGTCTGTCGTTTTGGTGACTGTTACAGGGATCGCGGACATAGAGGCGTTGATTCTGGTAATTGCCATCGTTTTGGGACACTGAAGTCGTCTTCGCGTGCCAAGAAGTGCTGACAGTACCGTCGGGCGTCAAGGCAACTGCCGTCTACAGTGTCACAGGGACGTGCTTGCCTCTCTACGAAATCGTGCTCGCATTCTTCTCGCGAAGTGGACCCAAAGCATGCAAGCTGCAAAAATGTGCTCAAACTGACTGATCCGATGCATGCACAGCTAGGGCATGTACACCCCCACCCCCCCCACCCCCTACCTCAAACCCCCCCCACCCCCACCCTATTTGCCGTCTCGGCTTGAGCCTGACAAATCTTTACTGGTGGCAGGCGTGCAAGCCAAAACTAAAATTCGGGATTAAGGTTTTGGTTCTAGTATGTTCTAGCGGATTCGATCGGCCAGCTGACAACGGCTGGCCACTAAGGGTTTTCCATGATGATCCCGAAGTTCAAGTTCTCGTCTCCGTAGTCTCGTTCACCATGCAGATCTTGTGGGCATTGAATCAGAACACTTGGCATTGCGGCCCCTCCTGCGCACCTCGTACGTATGCGAAAAAGAGCAAGTTCTCCGCAACTGTAAGGTCACCTGTGGAAGGCCAGGCAAAATTGCGAAGGAAGAGCAGCGTGGAACCCGGCATCAGCCCCGAAGGAGATTGCACATGAAAGGTCATGAAAGTACCGCTCCCGCATGAAAACGCAGCTGTGGGGCCATTGATCACAGTTTCCTGGCGGCACAACGCAAAGCTGGCATGCCCCTTCGCAGTCATCTCTCAAGATGCCCTCAAAGTCTCAGACTTCTGCGGAGCTTCGTAGCTACTTAGCAGCTTGATTTGTCAGCTTGGTTCAGAGACAGAGAGAGATATGATCATCTTTTTATACATATCTACATATGTATATGTATATATTGAAGCGAAAAGAATCTATTCGTCTGAACAGTTCTTGAGCACCATCAGCAGCCCACCATGTTCGTTCTTGTTCAGGATGAAGAAGTCCACAGAGAGAAAGCTTGCAACAACAACGACAAAAGGTTACAAACTGTGACAGAACCTAATTTTCCTACATAAACTGCAGAAGGCCCTGACGATCTGGAGCCTGCCTGTCCAGACCCCAGATACAAGTCAAGGACATGTGATTTTTACGAAGACTAATTGCAGAACCCTGGGTTGCTGAACAAAAAAACGAAAAATCACGGGTCCTGAGGGCAGAGGCCAATGCTTATCCCACCGGCTTCAAAGCCGATGCTCACTGAACCTTGCAGGGGCAAATGTTGGGCATTTTGCTTGGCATTTTGCGCTTGCTTTTGGCCACCCGTACTGCAGACCAACAAGGGTCGCTCCGCGAGTTTGGAATACAGGGCTTCAGACCATTCAGATCTTGTTTGATCTGGCCTTTTCGTGGCCCCTCTTCGCCAGTGATGCATCCTGGGCTGGGTCATGGCAAGAGCAGGCTGTCAGCTCTTGAACTTCAAGGGTTCTAAGGATTTCTAGGACTCTAGGACTATGCAAGGCTCACTCAGTATCCGTCGCCATGCCGCAGCCTACGTGGCAAATCTCCAAGAGTCCGAGTTTTCCGCCGATACCCGAAGCCAAATATCTAACTCTGGCCATGTCATGGAACCTCTCAGCCTCTCAACCACTAGGCCACTAGGTCTGCATCCTCACAGACCCTCAACTGAAAAAGGCGCAAAGCTGGCCTAGGAGCGGATGGCCGTGGTCTTCCCGGCGCCGTTGGGGCCCAAGAGGCCCAAAGTTTCTCCCCGGTCAATCTTGAAGCTTACCTCAGGATTTCTTTGCACTGCTGCGTCCAGCTTGAGCGACGTCTCACTCTTGTCTCAAAATGTCTTTAACAAGATGTGCTCTTCGGTTCTACCCCAGGTTAAGTAAGTTGCCGACGGGGGATCTGCTTTGGTTTTTCAACTTCGTTGCACGGTCAGTCACTGGAAGGATTGACACCTCGCCCCCCCCCCCCCCCCCGAAGCAGAAGAAGACTGGAAACAGACCACAGCTGCTTGCCGCAAGCCGCGCCATGAAGTGTAAAGGTTTCTGGCGACGCCCTGGAGGGAAGCCAACCATAGCCTGCGAGCCGATGGCCGAGAGCTGGCGTCTCTCTGGGTCATAACGGCCCTGAGGCGGCCAAGCGGCTGTGCATCAAGCCTCGCAGTGCGGAAACCGCGTAAAGCAAATGAAAGGGCACGCTTAAATCTTGAACCCATAAACCCGAATAGCTAGTAAGAGTCTTGTAAGGGTCTAGTGAATCTAGTAAGAGTCTAGTCAGTCAGAATCTAGTAAGAATCCAGAAGGCACCTTTCACTTCCAGCAGCGTCTCCGGATTGGCGGTCTCAGGCGGAAGCTGCCCCCTACCTGCAGCCCCAAGCGAAGTCTATACTACATCTAACGAATCTAACTACCGTTGGCAATCCTTACGGTTCCTCGCCCTTCCTGCTTAACACAAGACTGCGGGCCTCGCCTGTCTCGCTCAGAACAGGGCACTGACGCCTGCAATCCACGGCACTGCGAAAAAGAGCATGAGAAAGGAAGGAATCAAAGACCCAAGCCTGTCCAGGAGGGTGATGATTGCGGCTCCTCTCATCTGAGTGTCTGCCAGAAACCTAAAGCTGTTCAAACCTCTCAAGCAAAAGAGCTACTGTCAAATGCTCATGCTCGCAGCCCCCCAGAAGGCTCCTATGGCGATCTGCACCACGTTCATGCTCATGAAGCTGATGAGAGCGTCTGCGGGGGTCATGTCGATGTCCTGAGGGTTGGCTAGAAAGCCCTATTTTTGCAAAATCTCTGAGCCCCAACTTATTTAAGCATCGTCAGACCTGAGGCAACTCAGAACTGAAATAATTATGCTAGGCGAAGCACCTCGATCGAGGCAGTTGTCTGTTGGGCATTCTGGCTATAGGAGCTTAGCAAGGAGACAAGAAGCAGCGAAAACCACGTGCAGCTGAACCTTCAGTAATTCAGCCCGTTTGTCTGCGCTCTAGACTCCACACAACGTCAAACAAACGTTCAAGCTAAGAAGGAACCCCGAAACCCCGCACCTGCTAAAAACCCTGCACGCTAAGCTCAAAATCCTCAAAGGCCCGCCGCTGTTCTGCTATATGAGACTCTCTTCTGTAATGTCTGCTTTGAGGCCAAGCAGAGCCCGAGATCTACGGATTGACTCAGAGGCACTTGGTGAAGACAAGTGGGCCGAGATTTACACATTGACCTATTTCAGGTGTGTGGTTTGTTGTTCTGCTCTGTGAAGTCTTGTCAACCTCTTAGCTAAAGGGGTTCCTGGTAGCTGTCAGATGTCAGGTGCATGTCTTTCAACTAGTCTTGGGGTCGATATCTACAATGGCTGCCAATGGCAGCCCATGTACATTGTCAACCAATGCTGCCTCGCGACATGCCTCAAGAATACTACACAGCAGGCAAGCAAGCGTGAAAAAGAGAACTCTGCACAACTTCATCGACATCATGAACAGCAGTGCGGGTGAAACCTTTTGAGCAGAATCAGGACGCAAATACCCCCGATCTGACAGATTTGCCTCAGGCCCAATCTCAGCATCCCGATAATGCACTGCCAAGACCCTGCGCTCTGACTGAACGTTGCCGAGGGGCTGGGCCGCCCTGCACCCCAAAGAGCATGGTAAGTGGCCCTGCCCACCTGCAAGATGTGGAAGGATGCAAGCGTGAGGCTAAGGATTGAACCTCTAAGGCACAGTTCCGGAACTAAGGTTTTTGCCGATTGCAACTAAAGCGCACGTTGGGGCCCAGGGGACACCGTTCCACTTTTTCATTGCAGTCACGGGGAATGCGGAGGAGCCATGAACTGAAGCCCCTCCAAACGAGGCGTCAACCTGCAGAGCACCTTTTCTGCCCACAGCACAACATTCCTGACTGCACACAATCGCACATCCAGCACCCACTCAGTTCTGAGTGCGTGCCGAAGAAGATTCACTACATCATATCAGTCATCCTCATCTTCAGATTTGCTGTTGCGGCGGGCGTCGTTCACTTCGTCGTTCACTCCCTGTGACAGCTGGGACAAGACACCCCTTCCAAAGCAACCTACTACCTGGGTGCTTCTTCACACCCATAGACATTGCCTCAAGAGCCCGCAAGAGCCTTGACCCAGGCGGGAGACGACCTGCTCTCAGTGGTAGAGGACGAGGGCATGAAGACGATGGCGGCACCGAGCAACAACACCTGAGATAAGCAGGACACGAATCTGGCTGCGGATACTTTTGTGCAAGCTGCATTCCCCCCATTCTCTAAATTTGAGCCCCTTGTGGTGTTTCGAGCTGCTGTCGTTGGGCTTAGGGGGGTAATCCGTGTGTCTGCAACCTGGGCCCAGAAACTGGACGCTTGCAACAGCTCGCCTGGTTCTAGCAACGTGTCATGTTTGCATGATTGTGCTTTGGAAATGGACGACTGTGACCATGCGCCTTGTTCCAGAAACGTCAAGCATCGTTGGGCCGTGTAATTTTCGTAAGGGCTTCAAGACAGTACATATCAGTGATTTGGGCAATGGTCTGCTGCTGCTGCTGCGCGCGCCGCCGCCGCCGCCGCTGCTGCCGCCGCCACTACCACTACTTCTACTTAACTACTACTGCTACTACTAGTACTTCTACTTCTACTTCTACTTCGACTTCGACTTCGACTTCTACTTCTACTTCTACTTCTACTACTACTACTACTTCTACTTCTACTTCAACTACTACTACTGCTCCTACAATTACTCCTACTCGTACTCCTACTCCTACTTCTACTTCTACTCCTACTACTACTACTACTACTACTCCTCCTCCTCCTCCTCCTCCTCCTCCTCCTCCTCCTCCTCCTCCTCCTCCTCCTCCTCCTCCTCCTCCTCCTCCTCCTCCTCCTCCTCCTGCTGCTGCTGCTGCTGCTGCTGCTGCTGCTGCTGCTGCTCCTGCTGCTCCTCCTGCTGCTCCTGCTACTCCTGCTACTCCTGGTAGTCCTGCTACTCCTCCTACTACTGCTACTGCTTCTAATACAACAAATACTACTACTGCTACTACTGCTACTACTGCTACTACTTCTACTACTACTACTACTACTACTACTACTACTACTACCACCACCACCACCACTATCACTTTTGTTAGACTTTTGGGGTTTGACTTCTCTGGCGGTGTAAATGGCACTCCATCAGCAATACAAATGTGGAAATTGCACGGAGGCAGAGCATCAAGTTTGTCCATTTCGTACCTGTCACTCGCCACTCGCCGACTAAACCTTCGACAAAGGATGCTTCCCACACGCCACACGTTGGTTTTTAAAGACACCTTCACCAACTATCATGTTACTACTACGACGACTACTAGTACTAATACTTTGGACATTGTACAACATGACGACATGACGATTATGACCTCACCCCCCTTCCCACCACGTACCCCACCCCAACGACGGCTTAAACCTGCTGCTGCTGCGGCTGCTGCTGCTGCTGCTGCTGCTGCTGCTGCTGCTGCTGCTGCTGCTGCTGCCGCTGCCGCTGCCGCTGCCGCCGCCGCCGCTGCCGCAACCGCTGCCGCCGCCGCTGCTGCATTGCCACTACTAGCACTGCTACACTGCTGTACTGCTACACTGCTACAACGAGGACATCACTGACTGGCGCACGATGGGAAAATTTCAATACTGATAGCGTAGTTCCCACCGATTGCGCGCACTTTCTTGCGCTTGCTGTCTTTGCGACGGGGCGCAGGAGGGATAATGAAGATCCAGGCTTCTATTCGGCAGAACCCCATTTTTTGAACAATGTCCTCAGTTGTTGCACGAGGGCTCTCAGCAAATGCCCGCGCACAAAAGCACATTTTCACACGTGAATTATGGATGGAGTCTGCATAAAGTCTCCTGTCACTGGGAAAGGCTTTGCAGCGTTATCCGGAACATGTCTTGCATGATGCTGCTTTTAAGGTCCAGACAGTGGTAACTCCACCAGGCAAGCCAAACATACCTGTCCTGAGAGCTGCGTATGTAAAGCGTAGAATGCAGTTGAATTGTATAAGAGGCTGTCTTGCGGGGCCGCATCTGCCGCGTGATGTGAGCAGGCCAGGTGTGATGGGGGCTTGCGGTGCTAGAACTTCGAACATTGTGAAAACTCCCTGCGTCCAGCGAATTCGATCAAGCATCCTCTGGCATCCGTAGAACCTCGACAAGCGTTGCACATGCCGACGTCAAACTTCTTTTGCTTCGGAGGCACAGACCAAGGGCGACACTACAGCACGATTCCAATCCCCGTACGATCTTAAAGATGCATGATTTCAGCAGGGTAGGAAAACCCAAGTCACCAAGAGTGTGAATGTGTACTTACCTATACTGCGCAGATGTCATGAACAGTTTTCTAAAAAGCATCGGCCGTAAGCCCTAATGAAACTTCCACCTCAACCACCAACTTCGTGCCAGAGGGCACCCTCCATGGGCAGCGGCACATGTGCCCGTTGTCTAAAGCACAACCCACTCCGTAGAGCCTGGCGCAGCTTTCGACTTTCGCACTCGCGACTTCACAAGGTCTCGGTACAAGACCCCTTGTGTTAGCGAGGACGGACCTTGCTCCACTCACTCTCGCGCGCGGCAGACAAGGCTGAAGGCACAATGCCCAGTCTGAGTCTAACACACCGACCTTGACCTTGAGGGTTTCGGGTTCGGAGGCTTTTAGGAGTTTCTTTTGGACTCACAGGGCTTTATATGGATAGTGGGCAAGGGTAATCTCAGGAGGCGGGGCGCAACCGCAATAAAGACCCATTGTTTTAACCACAACAAGGAATCACTTAACCATGATAGGGATTTGTGCCTCAGTGCATGATAGCCACAATGCCTGCCACCTTTCAACCCCCACAAAACGCCCCCGAAACCACCCCAAGCCCTAAAACGTAGCCCAAGGCTCCAAAACCGGGGTCTTTCTGTCACTGCCCGTGCCCCATCCCCAGGCCCGCATGGGAGTGACAGAAAGGCCTGAGAATTGAGGTTTCGGGCAGCCCGCGTGGGAGTGACAAAAAGGCCTGAGAATTGAGGTTTTGGGCCTCCCAAAGCTCCAAAACCACTATCATTGTTAAACCACTATCGTGAAACCACTATCATGCCAACCTTAAACCACTGTCATTGTTAACCACTATCATGCCAACCCTAAACCACTATCATTGTTAACCACTATCATGCCAACAACCCTAAACCGCTATCATTGTTAACCACGATCATGCCAACCCTAAACCACTATCATTGTTAAAGAAACCCTTGTCATTGTAAAAACGTGTTTTTCATGGTTAGAACCCCTACTCCCCATGGTGATCCCTATTTCAAAACGCTCTCCCAGTTTTTCCCCGCTCTGAGGGCTGCACCATTCCGGCTTCACCTCAACAGGGCCCGGGGGCAAGACGATGTGCTCGGCGCAGACCATCGCTTGAGCTTTCAGGCGCGCCTGCACCTCTGCACCCTTCCTTGTGGCGTCTCATGCCAACGTGGGAAAGCATGGGCTACGGGGCAGAAGAAAGCACCATGACATCAAAGGATTCTACAATCTTGCACACAATCAGGTACCGCAATGCCATCAACACTGAATGAAGCTCAGCAGCACAATGCCTGCCTCAGCTATGGCCACTGCAAGTGCACCCCCCGGGACCTGCTCGTCAGAGACTTTCGCGCCGGAAGACCTTGGCAGGGCGCTTGGGAATTGAGGCTCAGGGCCTCTAGGGCTTAGGGTTGGGCTGAGAATAATTTGTTTTGGCCATCTGCTTAGCATCGACATGCGACCTTGTCACCTAGTCACATTTATCGAACTCCAACATTCCAAGTGCAGCAACGCAATCGGGAATTGTTACTCGATGCTGGCTATAAGTTGTCGTGACTCTGCAGGCGCAGCGTGCGAACTTGTGACAAAATATGCCTATTGCGGGGCTTGCTCATGAGCCACACACTGACGGGAGTCAATCGAGAGGTAGCGTGCCCTTATCGATCCACTCAAAGCGCTCAGGAGTCAAGCTTGCTGCAGAAGCCCTTCTAGATTCTAGCACGTGCTGCCAGTATACAGTCGCTTCTCCCCAAGCTGATGTTGGGGCGGTCGCACGTGCAACTGCACTTGTTTTCTGGCCCTTATTGCTGGCCAGCCACCATTGGCCAACAATAAAACGTACTGCATATTAACTTGATCGTTCTAGCCATGGCAGCCATGCGTTGCAAAGGTAGCCGAGTCACTCAAGTAAGCTCGAGTTCGTCCATGCACCAGTCTTGTTGCTGCGCCCACTTCTTCCGGGCGCGTGATCGTCGAGGTATGAGCCTAGAGCCTCCTCGCGAACCGCTCCACTTGTTGCCTTGATACATCGGCCACTGCAGACAAAATGTTAACCTCTTTTTGTCACAAGCCCCTGGAGAATAAAGATTACAGTATCAGGTCATGCTGAGTACCTCGGCACCCCTCCCCCATGTTTCCATATATCTCCGGCCGCACTCAGCACTCAGGATGTTGAACTCTCCCCGCCAAATTGTGTTGACGGAATTGAGCATTCGGGTTTTGAATCTTCTTACTTATAGAACCTTTTCCATCCAAGACTCTTGCCAGTTCTGCCAAACCACTCCCTACCCTGACTCGGGAAACGCTTCTGAGTTGCTGAGCTGCTCATCGACTCGGAATTTCTAGTCAAGTCAAGTCACCAACAGGATCAGCAAGAACTGCGACCTCCACGCAGACCCAAATGCTGTCCGTGACGGAGGCATTGCGCAAGCAACGTGAGACACCACATCTTCCGAAGAAGAAGAAGTGCTTGAGCCAGATTTGCGGAGAGCGCTGACCAGGCGAGTCAAGGTCAAGGCCTGCGAGTTACTCTGGGCATACTGCCATGCTGTAACAAGTCGCGGTATGGGCCTCCCGGCCATGAAGGCGTCTCTCCTAAGCCCAAGTTGGAAGATGGAGGAGTGAAGAGCATGCTGTAATACTGTAAGAGGGGCCTTCAATGGCCCTCACTCCGCTTCAGGAGACCATTGAAAGTACCAAGCTTCACATCTTCAGCTGCCAAGCACCGGCCCTTAACGCAAGCAGCTGTCAGCTCGAAAGCTGCTCTGTGAGCGGGGATGACCTCGAAAGCTCTGGGACATCGACCTAAAAACCGATCTTCGACTCCAAAGGGGCGAACATCTGAGAATATTTCAGACGGTGGCCGGAAGCACCAGCGATGTCCACGATTGCTTGCCGGCCTTGGAAAGCCAGGAGATACCAGCTCGGCGCACGATGCTCACGAACCAATGCTCCAAGATGCGGCCGGCACTACCTGGGAGGGATGTGACAAAGCTTTGCGCAACCACCCTGAACCCTGTGGAACTCTTGAACTCTGAGCCCTAAAGCTCTTCCTTAATACCGTTGGGAAAAAAGGGATTCAGGGTCAAAGGGAGCCAAAGTCGCCGCAACAGCGGGGGCCGCAGGCGCAAAGAAGATGACCCAGGCCTGTTTCATGAGGCTCTTGATGCAATGGTTTAGGGTTGCTAGGGGTTGCTGCTACTGCAGCTGTTTCGGAAACTGATTGGCATCGAGGTGGCAAGGACGACGGCGCTGTCAACTAATTACAGCACATCTTCACACAAACACCCTTGTGCCCTTGTCAAGAAACAAGTGGTCCCCTATCCGAGGTGAGTGACCTCAATCGAGTCACCCAACCGCCGAGACTGCGTCCTGTTGTTGGCCTCCCTGAATTGAAGCCACAAACCCTAACCCCCTCAACACCCAATAGTTTGCTTGTTACTGCAGAAGACGGGGCCCGCACCAGGATAAACTGCGCCACGCTGCTGGCCAGGCGAGTGCTGGGGCACGCGAGGCAGATGAGGTAGCCGATCCTTGTGATGTTCTTCAAGCGGTTGGTGGGGGTGGGGGCTTTCATGAGTTTGGTAGACGCTTCCATGCTGTTCGAGGTACACAAGCACCCTAATCAAGAGGCACTAGCGTTGAAACACAATGATGGAAGGTACCTGTATGTGACCACTGGGCCCCGCACGTCGTTCCCGACACTGCCAACAGAAGCAAAGCGACCTGGGCAGAACTTTGACAATTACAACTCGCATCCTGAATCCCAAAGCTGGCCCCTAACCCAAGATGTGAGTGATCTGCTTGTTCCCCCCCCCCCCACCAAAAAAGAGGAAACTCATCCGTGTGCCAGCATGTCTCGAAAAGAACCACCGGAGAAGTCCACAGGACCAGGCGCACCTGCCAGGTGAGCACATGAACGTGCAGACACGCCTTTGGAGTTTGGGGCATGGACTTAGAATGCTTGGGTTAGCACGCAAAACCTCCAGCTCCAGAAGGTTTGGGGACTAGGGTACGGTCCATGACAAGGTTTGCATAGGGTGTGCGTCTGTTGACTGTTGCTTCAAGGCCCCAATTTAAGACGGAGGAGGAAAAGCCTGCAAAACGCTTTGAGGCCTAACTGATTGCAGATCACGACTTCTGCAGGATTTATAATTACCAGTGCGAGCCAGTTTAAGCAACGCACTTTCCAGGTGCCGGCAGACATGCAACTTTCCTTCAGGAAGGGCGGCTGTATGCTTTCATGTTTTGTGCTAAGCTGCTAGACCCTGTTAAAACCCCAAACCAAGCCCCAGTGGCCTCGAGCAGCGTTCCCGCAATGAAAATCATGAGCAGCATCCCCAGCGAGGCCTCTGTGTGCCACATCATGGCGCTAGGGCTTGGGAGCTGGTCCATCGTAAAACCGAGACCAGCCGCACCTGGAGAACACCATCGGCTCCTGCCGTCGCCAGCATATACCTTGGTTTTTGCAGAAGGCCAGCTTTAAAGCTTAGAGTAGCGGCCTGGTTTGTGGCCATAGCCGCCGCTGGCCATCATTTTGAAACCGTGCATCGCAGGCGTGCTGTTACCAAGGTGTTGTGGGTGCTCCGCTTGTCGAGCCCACAATTGAATTTAAAGATCGCTGCCTTCACTTGCAACACCGCTCGCTGCTCTTCATTGCTCCACCACTTCCTCTGTGGGTTTGCCAACCTGATTTACAAGCTCCACGTCCTCTTCCGTTGGCGCCGGGAGGGTGACTGGGCGAGCGCCCCCGAGCTTGATGATGCGCGCCTCTGGTTGAATCGCAAGGACATTATCCTACTGTACTAAACAAGCTCCAGCAAAAAACTGCAAAAGCAGACTTGCCCATCGCCAACCTTCAACACAACCCTTCAAAGACCCAATATCATCCAATTGGAAACCTTGCGTTCACCCTCTCACCGTGCCTGGGCGATGGCAGCGACACACAGCATAACCGTCGTTGCCTTGGCCACATTATGTGGGACCGAACCGGACTGTTGTGGAGCTTTAGCATTGGTGTGTCAGATTGCATGCGCGTCAGTGTGTGAGTGTGTGCATGTGCATGTGTATGTGTGAGTGCGTTGCTCTGTGCACGTGCGAACGTGCGTGGGTGTGTGTGTGTGTGTCAGTACGTTAGTCTGTGTGTGTGTGTGTGTGTGTGCGCGGGTGCGTGCGTGCGTGCGAGCGTGGGTGGGTGCGTGCGTATGTGGGGTTGGGTGTCAAAAAGGGCGCGCGCGCGTGCGCGCGCGTGCTTTTGTGTGTGTGTGTGTGTGTGGGGTGTGTCCGACTCTGTTTACGAAGAGATTGACGCAGCAGTTCGTGTAGTATTCCGCAAGGAAGAGAGTCGCTTGAGAAGCTCCGACAAATTGTGCCGTGTTCTGCACCTCCTTCCATAAACGGCTGCAGTTGCCTCCACTCTTCTGCGTGAGGTGTGTGCGCGTGTGTGCCAACCCTGCTGCTAAGGGAAGAGCGTACGCATTTCATTTCACTGTCTGCGAGTGCACTAGTTTAGTACGCGGGACCACCCCATGAATGCAGTTGGTGGTCCAACAAAGAAGGCTGCATTCATGTCTGATGTGGGAACTGATCATTCCCACGTACCTACAGATGCTGAGAGTTTTCGTTGTGCGCGTCGCTGCGTGCTGTGTGCCAAGAGTGAGCAAGGTTCTAACAAGGTGATTTTCAGGTGCTTGGAGTGGAGATGTGCACATGTGTGCTCCAGACAGTCTTCGTTTATCGCACTGTCTGCAGCAGGGCTGTCTGCCTGACAGTATGGTCTTGATTGACCACTCTGAGCTCCCTGGTCGGAGCAACAGCCTGTCAGCATCTCCCACCTTGAATTACTGTGACCGTGTCTACAGTCTGCTGCTGTTCAAGCACAGATACAGAACAGGTTCTACGCCGGTTATCAATCCGCCGAGGCCTCGGGCCGGAGGTGTATAGGTTGTCAGAACACCCCCCCACCCAAAGCCGGATCCTTTTTTGCCTCAAATGGGTACCCCCCCTAGGAAACCGGGGTCCGCAAGCGGACGGTTCGCCAGGACCAGAGGCAGTTGAAGCCCCTCCCAGCATGCGCCCATCCCTTTTTTTCCGCCCACACCCCCCCCCCACCCCCACCCCCCCCTCCACCTTCCCTGCCCCCCCCCCCCCCACTCCCCCTACCCCCCTGAGACGCCTGGCTCAACCCTACGATCAATCCAAGCCGAACCGTCTTGATACTCCCAAAACCCTAAACCCCAAAGCGTGAACCTTGAGCCCTAAGCCCTCAAACCTAAACTAAACCATAAACCATAAACCCGGAACCCTAAACCCTAAACCCTAAACCCTAAACCCAACCCTTATTGCTTGGGGTCCAGCGACTTGGGCGCTGCGGAATCACCATGCTCACGCGGATGCGCTGGGCCGGGCCGAGGCGGGTCGCGTAGCGTTAAAATTAACTCAGTCAGTGACTTCAGCCAGGGTTATCTCCACCCAAGTGATATTGCACAAGTGCTTGGTTTGTGCACCATTTGTCCACGCAGCGTGTTGAGAGTGATCAAGCGCCTGTAGTGCTGTAGTCATGTGCTTGAACGCATTCGTTGTTTTTTGCGGCATCTTGTGAATGTTCGTGACTTAGTGCGGGGCTGTGGAAATTCCCTCGTTACGCAAACATGTGGACTGCAGATTCCAATCAACGGTAAAGCAATGGCAAGTGAAACATTTCAGCCTGGTTGCCGCATGATTTCAGAATGTGCAACTCCTGTAGATTGTAGATTGTCTTTTGAGCTTCGGCATGCGCAGATTTTCTATTTGCGCGTGCAGTGCGCAGCATGCTGCACAGGTCCAATATTCTTATTCTTATTCTTATTCTGGAGACGAACGAAAAGGATGCGTCCAACATTTGCTGCAGAGCCCAGTACTGCTGAGGATGAGGCTGCTAGCGCTAACGCCGAACTTGCACATGCCGGAATACTGACTACGCTGTGACCACTCTGTAGCAGTATTGCAGCAAAGAGATGACGAGCGCTAGCTGCTTGTTTTTTCGAAGGGGCTGTCTGTCTGTTTGCCAAGAGCTCCTCTAGGTAATGACGTGTTTTCTGAAGATGACAAGGTTTACAAGGGCAGCTGATAGATTGCGTGACTGTGCTTTTTGATGCGTTCTGATCCGAGCAAGTCGAGATCCCACAGTCAGAACCGAGCCTCCAGCAACTGATTGCAAGATTGAGTGCTTCAGCCGGTCGAGCGATTGCTGCTTGAGCCTGTTGCTGATGCTGTAAAACTAAATGTAACAATTGGCGGACTGGCAGTTCGCATCATCCAAGTGCTTGTGTTCGTACCAGTGTCCAGACAGTTTCGTTGATCGCAAAGGCTGCGGCTTGTGACCAGTTATTTACCCTCTGATCGGGGTGCAAATCTGAAGCTGACGAGATCGATCGAGAGTGTGATTCCTTAGCGACTTTTGATTGAGCGACACTATCTGAGTCCAGCAGATGCTTGAGTTTGCCTGACTGTTGGCAAACTAGCCGTTTGAGTGCCAGGCATGACACCACTGCAGTATGTCTGGTATTCAGTGGCTATATGTTGACGTGGATACAGCATCACAGAAGTGATGTCTTGCGCAGAGCGTTTCGCATACTTTCGGAAAGTGTGATGCTCAGAATTCAGAATGCCAGTCGAAAGTTCAGATGTCTACAGACTGTTACAGTGATGCAAGTGACGCGCTTTCTCTGAAGCCTGTCATTAGAGTGTTAAAGTTTGCTGTCCGAATGATATCCTTCCGAGAACTGATGCTACTATTCAGCAGCTCACACTCCGTTTTCGCCCTGCACCTTGGTCGAGGAGAAGGTCCACTGGCGTGCATTCCGGAATGATTAGGGCATCCGAAGACACCCCCCTGGGTAGTACCATCCAGGTCATCGGGCGCTGCCAAAGAATATATATACATACCCCAAAGCGGGCGGGTCGGGAGGGCACTGAAGATCTTGATCCATGCAAGGGTTTGGGCTTCACTTCAAGCTTCGCTGCTAGAATCAGCAGCTCACACTCCGTTTTCGCCCTGCACCTTGGTCGAGGAGAAGGTCCACTGGCGTGCATTCCGGAATGATTAGGGCATCCGAAGACACCCCCCTGGGTAGTACCATCCAGGTCATCGGGCGCTGCCAAAGAATATATATACATACCCCATGTCTTCCCAACACCACCAGCCAGTAGCTACTTTGAAGAATGCAAGAAGAGCGCATACCACGAAGAAGGTGGCAACCCGAGCCGTCGCCAAGTCAGAGACTGATCCAGAGTACTGCTGAAGGCCTGCGCAAAGCCATACACAAGCTCGCGGGTACGAAGATCAAGGCTCGGAAAAAAAGTCGAGCTTGCCACTTCTTGGAGGTAAATCTCCATCACTTTCGGCGAGGCCCAACGGCCTCTTCTTCTTACACGTTCTGAGTCTTCGCAGCACTGCAGCATGTGCGTGGCACCGCCAGGACGAAACGACCCAAGGTCCAGAGGCCGAGCACCAGATGAGCTTCGCCTGATGTCAAGGCGTTCCAAGATCGCATCAAAGCGCCTACGAAGCGTTTGGTTTGTGAAGGGCCATAAGCGCTGCTCCGGGTCGTAAAACTCGAAGGCCAACTGTATGACATCTATCAAATCACTTCGCTCGATCTTTGCCGCCTGGTGGCGTGCACCAGGAAGTCTCGTCTTGGGCTCCAATATCTGTAAGAGAATGAAGCTTTGTACGTGTAAAACATCGACTGGCAAGATCAACTGTTTGCGTCTGGCGGACGTGGCTTCGCCTATTCTTAACAAACCTCCCCAACTCATTGCAAAGAGGCCTGCTTCTGCGACCCAGCCCCACATCAAGCAAACTGTAAGCATCGCCAGAAGGATGACTGGCGGCATCGGCACGTGGTGAGTGTACGGCTCCATTGCAAGCCAGCTGAAAGCAGTGTCCCAAGCAGCCTGAAGTTGCCGGCGGACAGAAGGCTTGAGGGCTGAGATTGCATTGACAGTCTCAGAGTAATGCCAGTATGGCTTCCCAAGATCGTAGAGTTCACGACCGTAGCTCACAAGGGCATTATTCAACTGCTCAATGTCAAAACCAGCGCCAAAAAGAAAATCCTGAAGCTGAATGCCACGTTCGCGCAGCCAAGAAGAGAATGCCAGAATGAGTGCGTCACGATTCTGTCTGGTCCTGTCCAAAACTGGCCTTCCAAGCGGCAGGGGTCGGGATGCTCTGCGCTCCTGCCGGCCGACGTCGAGGCCAGTCTGTCGTGCTGTCGGTCCTTCCCCGGGAAAACCCAGAGTGCCATCGAAATCCAAGACATCATTGGTGGAGCATCCAGACGGGATGCTCTCAGCAACTGCAGGACCAACCTGTCTCTGACAAGTTGAGAGGGCTTTTAGGAAACTAACAACCGAACCCTTAGAACCCGAAACTAGAGCAGCCAACCGAATCCAGTTTGCAATGGGCTTGGAAAGCTTGAGAAAAAGGGACAACGCGCGCAGCTCTAGGGGGGTTAAACCTCGGGCTAGGGAGTGAGGGACAGGATCAGGCAGTTCAAGGTCTCTCGTGGGCGCGTCAGCCGTGTTCAGACGCGTCGGTCCGAAATGGAGTCCTGGGTAGATTCCTCCAGCGACCTGAATGGCAGCGGAAGCTTTCAAAGCCGGCTTCAGCGTTCTGGCTGAGCTCCTTCCCTTTGACACAGCACCCAGCGCTACTGCTGAGTCGACAATGTGCGCATATCTAAGGTCCCCACCTGCAAGGGTGAGGTCACGGGGACCCCTAGTGAAAGCCCTCGTCGCAAGGACATTTATGTGCTCGGGGCGCTTCCAGGCCCAGGCAGCTTTCGTTTTCCAAGCAAAAGCAGAAAGGACATCGTTTGCCAGCAGACCTTGCAGTCCAGCCCGGGATCTGGCATGGCCCGGCTTGGAGTTGATAGCCTCATGGAAAATGGAAGCAAAAGCCTTGGCTACCTCGGGGTGGTACGCAGTACTGCTCTTAGCAAAGGAACCCTCGATGCGAACATGGTGATGGTCTCTAGGGCAGCGCCTGTGGATTCTGGAGAGGTTTAGGCCGGTACCCAGGAGAGCGAACTCCTTACGGAAAGGAGAGCCATATGCGCACGAGGCGAGGAAGTTCTCCTCCACTCCAGTGAGGCTCAGAGCATATTGCCATGCCTTAGTCCGTCTCATCTTTGAAGTCCTGGGCTGTTCGACCAAGGCGGGTGCTCCGGCCCTCCAGGCAACAACGAAGATGACAATTGCAAAGAAAGCTTGCCGGTTCCCACGCCAGGTCCTCGGGAAAGTTCTATCAAAACCTTCAGGCACAGCATAGGTCCTCAGGCAAGGGCGTGCTGGCCCGGAGAAGGTAGTGCAAGGCGGCTCGATCATGACAGCTTTGAGTCTGCCAGACTGCAAAAGGAACAGGATCCACTCCAGCACGTGAGTTTGTTCGATGTCGAACTCGGGCGAACATGAGAGGTCAACAATCGGGCCGATGACATGGCCTAAGGCAGCAAGCTGATGTGAAACCCCACCCGCCCCCCCGCATATCTCCAGAAAGTCAAAGTACTGGGCAAGGGGTTTGGGCACAGTAAGTCCACGCTTAGGGTCTGACTGAGGGGAATCCTGGGGGACAAAAGCCTCTGAGTCACGCTCGAAGCCCAAAGCAGCAAGGGCAGCACCCTCAGGCCGATCAAGCATGGTATAGAAACCCTTTGCGTCCGAGGACAGCCAGAGAGCCCTGGAGACATCAGGCCCTACATCTGCCGAAGTGTAGCCTCCCTTTGCCAAAGAGGCGTCAGAGGCATAGGCCTGTTCGCAGAAAGGAACGGCAACATTGCTGACCATCAAAGGGGCCAAAGCCGAGAGCAGAACAAGCTCTTGGCGCTGCCTAGGCTTGAGGGGAACTAGCGAAGACCCACTAGAAGCAGGGAGCTTAAGTGAAATCCCAAAGATTGAATCAAGTACTGACATTAGGCAACGCCTGTAGAGCAGGCACGAGATCCAAGAACCTGTCAGCATGCCACAGAGCTCCTCGGTGATAGCCCGGCCGGCTGCAACTTTCAAGGACACGAGCGCAGCGCAAGGCGTTTTGTTGCTGGACAACCAACGGATGTGAGTCCATCGGCGACAGATGCAGGAGAGGAATCAACCTGCGCCCCAGCGACAGTAAACACAGTTTGACCGAAAATATCCTTGGCGTCTGATCCAGCGATGCCAGCTTTGCCATACTCAAGCTTAGCCTGCCTTAGAAGCTTCTCTCCCTCGTCAGGAGGGGGCTCGGGCCCAGCGGGCGCAGCAACAGATGTGGATGCGATGGCAAAGAGATCGTCGATAACGAGCCCCAGCCAGGGCCCATCAGGGGCAACGGGGCTGCCAGAGACCAGGCGGCCTCATTCCGATGTAGGGAGCACTCCGGCCGCTTCCAGGAAACCGGCGTGGGCAGCAGTGGCGTATTCCACGCCTGCAGCATCGCCTTGGAACAAAGATGCAAAGCAGCCATGGACTGGAGTATCTGGATCTACAAGGATAGGCCTAGGCCTGCATGAAGGATGGTTTCCAGCGGACCTGTTTTGGCCTTCGGCCCATGCCAAGAAGTCGGCATGCGCGGCAAGCCCCTCGAAATCTCTCAAAGCAAAAGCTGGGCCCACAGCGTTCGCGAAAGCCTTGCTGCGAGTCACGCAGGCCTGATGGTAGAAGTCTCTCCTATCGACTGCGGAACCGCGAAGACAATGGGTGTATCGCTGGACAGACACCCTGGTGATGAGGGCACCAGTAGGGAGTTCCTTGCTGGGGCCGCCAATCTTGGCCTCGTAGGAGTTAGGACCCCGCCTATCACCAATCTGCCTGTCTTGTCCCGGCGATTTCCAGGCACCAAACACACGCGTCAGACGGTCATCTGGGAGGGGGCCCGGCCTCAGAAGAAGTAGGGACTTGGCATCCCAGACTTTAAAGAGACGCAGGGCCTGTTCAGGATCCTCTTTGTAGAAAGTGGGATGGGGGCCATTCGTGCCGCTGAAGGCGAGAACGGACGGCTCGCGGTACGCCATCGCGAGTTCAGGCTCCAGGAAAGGCGCAAGGCCCCAAGCCCCCGTGCCACGAATCACAATCCTCGAGCGGACGGAAGGGCCTTAGAGACTCCGGCCCTCCCACGTCATGAGGCACAAAGGGTGGAGGGTTAGGGGAGGCATTAGGGTACCCAGAAAGGCCTAAACCTGAACTATTCAGAAAGCTAGCGAGCTCAGCAAAGCGAGCGACCAGATGGGTCCCTCGCCTGCCCGCGCAGAAGGGGACATTGCCCGAAAGGCGGGCACACGCTCTAATCAGCACGCGCAACCTTGCAAACACTTGTTGGTGCACAAAGAAGGCGGCCTCCGGAGACAATGCAAAGGAATGTGCTTTTCGCCAGCATGCAGAAAGTTCAAAGCCATGACGGCCACGTGGAGAACCTTAGCCAAAGCAAGACTCGAAGCACATCGTCCTCTGCAGGCCCGGGCACTGCCACCAACAGGGAAAGCGTCTGGCAGCGGCAGGGGAAACAAAGCGGTGGAGATGGAAAGGTCATCATCTCTTTCAAGGCGCAGGGTCTTGGCGATAAAAGAAGCGAAGCTAGTACCTGACTTCAGAATTAGCCGGGGCAGCGCATGGCCCCAAGATGTGAAAGAGAATTCGCCGTCGTAGGGCAGGGGAAAAACCCTCGGGCCAGCATGCATTGGAGAGCCCCCCCCTGTGCGGTGGCTGGAGCCACTGGAGGAGCCCCCCGCGACAGGAGGAAATTTCACTTGTCGCCGGCCTTGGCGGCTGCCGCGGCCTTCTTGGCAGCCCAGGCGGCTGCTCGCTGCGCCTTCTTCGTTCCGGCTGCATCGCCGGGGCCTGCAGGAACTGTTGGTGGAGCTGGGCTGGGGAGCTGAGGGCTCTTTGATGGATTGGGATTCTTGGACCTGAGCTCCGCTCGCCTTGTCGTGATAGCGTCGACCTCTTTCAAATAGGAGATCGCGGTCGTCAGCCATTTTTGTTCGGCCAGCGGAGTGAAGGCATGCCCCCCTTGGCCAGGAAGATTCGGCGCATCCTGAAAAAGGCTCTGCGGCGGGTCGCTTTGAAGAAGCGACAAAAGCCACGCGATCGTCGTATTGCCGGAATCCAAGTTGACCTGATCTAAATAGACCAGCAGAAGGGAGAGTATGTCGCGGGCTCCATCTACCGATCCCTTGTTTAGCAAGTCGAAAGCCTGACTGACTTGCCACACCACCAGCGCAAGCTCTTTGTTCCTCGCGAAACCGCCAAACCTCTCGTAGTACCTGCACATGCCTGTCTGGTCTGGAGGAAGAAGCCCCGTCGGATTCATGCGCTTCATGGCCTGCTCCTGGACCTTTTGCGCAAACGTCCCCGAGTGTGTGGCGAGCTCGCTCTGAAGCCTCTGGCGGTTGACAGAACCCCTCACGGATGTGCTGGAAGCTGGCATGTCCAGGATGGGGTCCCCTCCTTGGGACAGCTGAGCGACAAGAGACATCAAGGCCTGAGACTGGGCAAGCACTGCGGCTGCAAGGTCGGCGATAATGCCATTGGCCAGCTGGGCATCGAGATCCACCTGGGTTGGGGCTGCGGGCGGCTGCCTTCGTGCGTTCGGCGGAGGGCCAAGGAGATGGGCAAGGGACTTGGGAGCGCCCTGGTAGGGCGGCATCAAGGAAGATAGTGGCGCGGCCAGGTCCACAGCATTCTTGCCTGGGGGGACGCCAGTCGTGGCTGGTCTTGGCTGTTCCACTCCGCCCGAGCCCTGCTTTGCCTCCTGGCGAATCGCCGCAATTTCCTGGACGAGCTTTGACATGACGTCCATCATGGACGACTGCTGGGAAGCAAGCTGGGCAAGTGTCAACCTCTTGGGCTTCGCGCCTTGAGCCTTGTTGGGGGGCTGCTTCGGCGGCACATCCTCCTCGGAAGCAGCTGTTTGGTAGCCAGAAGCTGCCCCACCGACTAGGTCTGAGCTTGGCCCAAAACATCCGAAGCAAGAGGGAACACTGAAGGGTCCTCCCCGAAACCCTGTCCACTGAAGGAGTCCGAGTCCAATGCCCCCAACGCTAGCGCATAACTTGCCGGGAGGTCCACAAGCATGGCCCTGATGGGCGAAGGGTCCGCAAAGGCAGTCCATTCTCCGGTGGCTGACAGAGCTATGGGCCATGCAGAAATGGTGGTTCTAAGCCCCGGAAGGTCCGGATCGTCGCCAGCACTCTCAGGCGGGCCCAGCTCAGACTCGTCAAGGAAGCCTTCGGGCAGGCACAGTAAGAAACCCCCCAGCCTCAGAAGCACTACGTACGAGGCGGCCGAACGGACCTCCTCGTCTCCCAGAAGGGGCCAGCTGAACTCCAGAAGTTCAACAGTGCCCCCTGATGCCGCTGTAAGGGATTCAAATTCCATGGCCAACTCCGCTGGCGCGAAGGACACAGTTGCAAGAGGTACTCTGACACCTGAAAAGGAGGACTGACAGACAAAAGGTGATGGGCGGCGAAGGATCGATGGGGGATGACACTCGAGCTCGATGGGCGAGCCTGCTCTGCAATGGTCTCTGTGTTGGATTCAGGTGACCTACGGGTACCCGAAAAGGGACTATCAGAAACCCCAACAGAACCACGACCCGCTAGGGCAACCAGTGGAGGGCAACCTAGGGAACCCACTAGAGGTCTCTGGGCAGATGCAAGCGGCTGAACGCTGACCAGATCAAACAGGCCAGGCTTGCAGCCGAAGAGGCTGCCGCAGATGGCTCAGAGGTGTATGCAAGGTGAAAACCGTTGACCGCTCCACCCTCTACAACTAACCTGATTCCCTCAGTCGCAAGAGTCAGCCGCCTGGGGTGACCGCAAATAACCAGCGAGCCTTCTCCTGGCGAGCCCTGTCGAAGGGCCAGGCGTACACCAGCAGTAGAATCAATGCCAAAGAAAATAAGGTGACCAATATCCCTGCAAGAAAGGCTGCCAACAAGCTTCCCAAGCCTGGGCCCTGACAATGCGGAGGGCAGAGGAGACCCCACCAACGGGTTTCGCTGCCGGTCCGCAAAAGATCCAGTGTAGTCAAAAGCCACGCGGGGGCCATTCAAACCCTTAAACTACACTGAAGATCTTGATCCATGCAAGGGTTTGGGCTTCACTTCAAGCTTCGCTGCTAGAATCAGTACTCTTCGGTTGTCTGCGCTTGTAGCATTCCCTCCAAAAGTGTGATGCAGGGAGCGCAAACGTGTTCACAATGTGTTCGCATCACAATCTTTCGTGCAGGCGTCGGTGGTATTGTTTTGGAGCACATTGGAGCTATTTCCACGTATTTCTGGGTTGGCTACTATTGCGGCCAGCCCCGAGTCCGCCTGGTTATTTGCAACATTTGGTCAGCGTCCACATGGATGGAGCTGTGATGTTACTTCACACACAGACACACAGAGTTAACCATGTCTAGTCGACGTATTCTGCCAGTTGCTGTTTGTCAGGAAGCCGCTGATGCTTACGGATGCAGACTGTCACTTTGAGAAGTCGCCTGAATCGTGTTGAATGCATGCACTAGAAGCCGTACGGGTCTTCTACTGACTGCCCCTCTACAGAGGGGCTGTGTCTGTCCAACTCTGTTTACGAAGAGATTCTCGCACTAGTTCGTGTAGTATTCCGCAAGGAAAAGAGTCGCTTGAGAAGCTCCGACAAGTTGTGCCGTGTTCTGCACCTCCTTCCATAAACGGCTGCAATTGCCTCCACTCTTCTGCGTGAAGTGTGTGTGTGTGTGTGTGCCAACCCTGTTGCTAAGGGAAGAAGCGTACGCATTTCACTGTCTACGAGTGCACTAGTTTAGTACGCAGGGACCACCCCATGAATGCAGTTGTTGGTCCAACGAAGAAGGCTGCATTCATGGCTGACATGGGAACTGATCATTCCCACGTAGCTGCAGATGCTGAGAGTTTTCGTTGTGCCTCGCTGCATGCTGTGTGCCAAGAGTGAGCAAGGTTCTAACAAGGTGATTTTCAGGTGAAAAGACCGGAGACTTGGCGTGGAGATATGCACATATGTGTGTGTGTGCGTGTGTGTGTGTGTGTGTGTGTGTGTTGTGTGTGTGGGTGCGTGCGTGCGTGCGTGTGGGCTTGCGTTTGCATTAAGTGTTAGTGCTAGTGCTAGTGTTAGTGCGAGTGTTAATGCTAGTTGTGCCTCAGTGTGTCAGTGTGTCAGTGTGGCAGTGTGGCAGTGTGGCAGTGTCAGTGTCAGCGTGTGTGCATGTCAGTCAGTCAGTCAGTCAGTCACAGTGTCCGTGTGTGTGTGTGTGTGTTTGTCAATCAGTGTGTGTTTGTGTTAGTCGATCAAGACGTGCGTGTCAGTCTGTGTGTATGGTCAGTTTGTGTGTGTGTGTGTGTCAGTTTGTGTCAGTGTGTGTGTGTGTGTGTGTGTGCGTGTGCGTGCGTGCGTGTGCGTGCGTGCGTGCATACTTGCGTACGTGCGCACGTGCGTACGTGCGTACGTGCGTGGGTGGGTGGGTGTGTGGGTGTGTGGGTGTGTGGGTGTGTGGGTGTATGGGTGTGCGGGTGTGTGGGTGTGGGGGTGTGTGGGTGTGTGGGTGTGGGGGTGTGTGGGTGTGGGGGTGTGTGGGTGTGGGTGGGTGTGTGGGTGTGTAGGTGGGTGTGTGGGTGGGTGCGTGGGTGCGTAGGTGGGTGTGTGGGTGGGGTGCATGGGGTGCGCGGGGTGCGTGGGGTGCGTGGGGTGCATGGGGTGCTGTGGGGTGCGTGGGGTGATGTGGGTGCGTG